GTATATTTGCACCCCGTATTTTTTTCCTCTCTGTCTCTCCCTCTTACTTTTGCATTTATATACAAAGTAACCTGTACACAAAGACCCAGGGGTGGAAGGACTCGTCGTTATGGAGCTCTAGTCCAGGGTCTCAGAGCCAGTGCATCAGGCCTTTTATACTTTTATGCTCTTATTGCGAGTTATTGCAACCGAAGGGCCGAATCGAACGGGAAAATTCACGGCATCGCAGAATTTAACGAGGTACTATAATCGAGTTTCAAATGAAAACTTTGGTGCGCAATATTTGCGTGCGTGAATCGGAAATCACGAGAGCTCTAATTGTTGTTGTTGTTGTTGTTGTTAACGATAAATGGATTTTCGAGCTGCTGATGTGTTAATACCAATGTTTTGGGAAAAGCTGGCTAAGTCGGTGATGTGCGTACGGAGAAATCAATGTTAATTCATCGAGCCTGTTCCAGCATCATTGAAAACAGAGCACAAAATCATACATTTGTGTGTTATTGCCGTTTGTATAATACTTCACCGAACATGTCTCACGCACGTGTCGCTCTTCTCTGCTCATACATACATGTATGTGAGAGCAAGGCTGCTCATCTCGGTCGCGTTTTATGTCTTGTTATCGTCGCCAACGTACACCGTTGGAGTTTATACGAGTGGTCGTATTTGGGATTAAAATTAATGGATTCTCGCGTGTCTACGTTCGCCGAGTGAGGCTTATTTTCAATGGTATATTCCACGAGAGTGCTTCTATCTTCAGATTTTTCCATCGATGGCTTTCGCGTTCGGATTGTCGAGAAAAATGTATCGAATGAAAATAAGGATTAGAGTCCCGCTAACTGTTATTTTTTAATCATTATTATTTTCATGGTAATTTTCACTGTCTTTTAAGTGATCGATAAATTACATTTGTAGCCTTGGTATTAAAGATCGCAAGTCATTTTTCATTTTGGAAATTGAAAACACACGTGCGTCAGCAAGTTGAATACGAAAACAGATGACTTGTGATAACATGTCACTAAGTAAATTGGTAAAAAGGCAGTTTTGGTAAAATCAATCATAGCAATGGCGTAAAATGATAATTGTCTCTCTTCAAACTGTTACTGAGAGTACGTGCATATGCTTCCGATCCTACGGTTTCTCAGATTGATTGACTGTAAAATATAAAAAAAAAAAACATTATCCTACCTACTAAGATAAAAGTTTTTGTCGCAACAACTATTAATTGCTTCTCTCGCTACAGTGGGTTTAAATGTTAATAGGTCAGCCCGGAGTAATCACCAATAACCCAACACCCAATCATCTAATGGTCTCACTCAAATTAACCCATCATCATGTGACACGTAAAATACGTGTGAAACGAAAACTCGAGGCTCCAAAAAATCACTCGACAATGAAACTCTGGCTCTGAGAAATAAATCCACATATAGCTGGTAAAAATAACTTCAACGAAACTTGAACCATCAATGGGACACCAGCAATTTCTCTCTCGAATCCTCGCGGGAATCAGATATTCCTGGTGCAAAAAAGTTACCCCGGGAATCCCACGAGAAGCAAGCCGCGAATAGTTCAAATAAACATAACTCGACTCGAGGGGATCAAATCACCCGGGGTGAAAAATCTTCGGCTCCGAGTTAGCCGGCCTCTGCGAACTGTGTGATTACACTTTCATCCTTCCTCCCCATCAACCCCGGACCGCGTACGAGCTCAATAACAGAGTATTGTAGCCGCGGATAGCACGCCGAGAGCTCTGTTTGTATCCTGATATCCAAAAACCGCAAACTTCCGGGGAGGCGCTCGCAAATTCGATCGAATTACGAAAGTTCGGCGCGAGAGGGTGAAATTTGCCCCGAGCCGCGCGGAGGGAGATTGATGCAATATTGGAAGGGAGCGAAGCCAAACAAACAGCAACGGGGCAGTGGGGTTCGATTAAAAATCAATGGCTCAGCGTCAATCAGCCTCGAGACGCGGGGAGATCGATCCCCCACAGCGGCCTGGGGTTTAAGTTGCCATCCGAGGGCTTAGCGGGAAGGACGTGTAATCGGCTGGCCTGGGCATGTGTGTCCGTGGGGGAGGGGGGGGTGACAGTTGGCTGACGAGTTTGGATTAATTGATGGGGGGAGAAGTTTCTCGGGTCGGAGAAAAAGGGGTGGGAAAATGTCGCCGAGGGAGTGAATTTCGTTGGAGTTCTCAGGTGACCGTATACATATATGGGTGTTTGGGGAAAGAAGTTTGGCTGGGCCGAGCTGGAAGCGGAAAATGTTTTTACCGTCGGGCGAGTGATTTTCGCACTTTTTGCTGGAATGGGTCGAGCAAATCGGGGACATAGGACCCGAAAGGTGTTTAAGAACTTCCTGGTTACCAAAGTTTTTTTATTAAACGTGGAATTTTTATTGAAGATACTTTGCTTGTAGTTTTACTGTGAAAATGTAGTAAAAAAAGTAGTAATTTCAACGTTATACTGAACTTTTATCGCTACACCAAGCACCGTATATATATATTTTCATGGGGCGGAAAAATCGATGGTATTGTATGCATTTCCAAGGCTGATGCGGCTTATAATTATTCGAAGGATGTGATCAATACGCAGAGCAAGAGAATCTACCGGATGCGCGAGACATCGGTGCATCCGGCTATACATTAGTATGAATGAACTCGCACGCGATGTACCGTTGGAAGAGACGCGTTTTTTCCTATATGCTCATTACTTCAATGGCAATATTGGAAATGACGATTAAGTGCTTGAGATTTTTTGCTACGAAAATTACACGTTGCATGGCTATTGCAGTAATATACGCTTGTAAATAGCTATTAGTGTGAGAGCAGTTGTAAGAGCTGCCAAGCGTGTAGTGATCGAGCCATTTTCGTTCAACGTGTCATTAGTTGAATCATTCACTTTGATACTTTATGTTTTTTCAATTGGTATATTTATAGATGATATGCAGTTTCCGAACGATTAGAAATAGTAGTTTTCCTACGAGTTTGAAAAGTCTCTGTTTGCGAACCGAGAGGTTTGCGGCCCGAGCCGAAGGCGAGGGACGTAACGAGGTTCGTAAAGGAGACTTTTCGAACGAGTTCCGGAAAACTGCTTTTTCGCCCGAGGAAGTACCAGCCTCCCAAAACCACCCGAGTGCGGAAATAATATTTTTAACACTTGTTATTTTAAAGTTGCGTGTGCATTAGTTAAATCAATTTTTTTTTCTTATTCGTAATGTGGAGCATCAGTTTTAGTTAAAAGCATTGAACCTATTAAAGTACTTGTGCCGAGGTTTATTAAAAAATTTACAAATAGAGTATATAATTAGTTATTTAAAACGTGGAAGTTGTACGCACTTTTGGTTTAAATCAATTTGTTGTAAGTTAAGTGAAGAACTTGATAATCGTATCCCATATCTTGTCGTGACGAGGCAGTTAATCTAATTTTAAGTGAGGAAATTTCTGTCTTTTGTTAACAGTCTAGAGTATCATGTAATTCGATGAACCCCTTTACTACACTTACACTTTTTTCTTACTTCAGAAAAATGTACAGCAGCTTTCAGCTACTCATGTTTACTAAATTTAGTTTAATGCAATCATCGATATGTCTCATTTACACGAATTGATGGGCAAGTATCCCTGAATTTAACATTTCATTTTTATTTTCGCAATTATTGTTGTTAGTAAGCCTGTAGTTATAATCATCAAAATATTTGAGATAGCTATACTGCATCACAGAACCGACGAAAAATATTTAAAAACTTCAACAAAATATTCATAAAGTTGAGAGCTACCTCATCTACATGTCATAATAATATGTAGGTTTGCAAGTATGGACTCTTACTTTAGTATTAGAGGATGATCTTGCGATATAAGTACAAAAGTATTGTCATTATTTATTTAAACAATCGTAAGGAATTTTCTGCAGTTATAGTGGATATATATATATATATATACTTTCAAATTAGTTGTCCGTAAGGTACCATGTTGAAATAATTCAATTTAAAGTTGACTACCTACAAAATGGCACACCGAATATCCATAACACTTGAACCACTTGCTTTTGGGAGTATTTTCATGTTACGGCCATCTCGAAGTTTCAACAAAAAAATTATAATCCACGCAAAGTTAATGAGAGGCTCCGTATCGATCGAGAGGTTTCCCCAATAATTTTGTCGTCGCTGATTGTATTTTTTTTTTTGTCCAAATTTTAAAAAGGAAAACGATCTCGATACGTGCATCGAATATCGCAATTCATTCGTCCGTCAAAAGCAAAACGTATAACGAATGCAATTGTGCTCGAATACACGTATTTGGATATAGATATATTTCATTTCGAAGCCCCATTCATGCGTTTAGTGGCAATACCTGTGCTACATTTATGAAAGAATTCAAACGAGTCGTATCGAAAAAAAAAAAAAAAAATTCACGACCCGGAACACGTATCAGGACGAATAGTAGATGAAAAGAATTTATAAAAGCAAAACGCGAAATGCATGGAAACGCATATTATAAAAAATAAATCATCACTTTAATACATTCAGGCACCATTGAGATGAAAAATGTGTACTCTCGGCGTTATTAAAAATCAAGAGCGCAATCATTGGCCCTCGTACGACCGCGAACGTACCACCAATTCACCCAAAACTCCCATTACTCATTTAATAATCCTATAGAGCCCACCTCCAAAACCATTACACACTCACGTATGCGCGTGCGAAGGCTCACCTCACTTGGAAAAGTCAAAATCCCTAGCTGCAAGTTACACTCCTCCCCGTCTCCTCTTTTGTCCCTCTCTAATATTCATTTGGCGCGGCTGAGCCCCGATGAGCCTTTTCAATTAGCCTAAAAGCCCCAGTTCCTTGCAAAACCTAGCTTGCAGCTCTGCAGTTCAAAAGCTCCCCGTTGAAACAAAACAGCCTTGGTCCCGACGAAAGAAAAGAAAATACAAAAAGTACCTCTTTCTCCTTGCCAACCCCTATTCGCGTCATGATCAATGAATAACGAGCATCGTCACGAAATTGCAGTGTGCAGCGAGAACCCGGGCCTGAGCGGGCGCTACCACACGGGCTACTGGAGCGGCAAACGGTGGTCCTGCTGTCGCGTGTCCAGCCGCTCGGCCGAGGGCTGTGACACCTGCAGCTTCTGGTCGCAGCCGAGCAACAACAGTACCACCACCACCACCACCACCACCACCACCACCGGGACTAGTATCATCAACAGCACGACGACAGCGTCCTCGAAGCAACAGCAGCAGACGGCCAACACCGTGACGTGCGGTGCGGCGCCGAGCGTCGCCTCCTCGACGAACAGCAGCAGCGCCGAGAGGCAATCGTCCAACGCTTGCACCGCTGCGGCGTCTCCAGTGACGGCTGTGACCACCACAACCACCACGACGACGGGCTGCAACAACTCCGAGGCCAACAACAATCCTGTCGTCCAGTCGCGCTCCAACAACGGTAAGTGGGTTATTGCCTTGTTTTAAGAGCCTTTTTTTTTGCTTTTTAAATGATTGGATCCAAGTATAGCATTTTTTAAAAAGTTTTTCCCTCATCTTATCTCCAGCTATTGTTGTGTGGGTTCATGATGGGGCCGTCTTTCTTATACACCAGTCTGGATTAGCAATCCACAAATAAACAGAGTAGCCTTTACGTGATTGACTGTTGAACTTGTTGAAATTCGCTAGTTAAACATTATAAAAATGCACACATGAAAAATTATTATGAATGTCAAGGTTGGATGGAAAATAAACGAGACCTTCTAGAGCGTGTAATTTTGCGACGTCATTCATGTAGGGGGAAGTTTTTATCATACTGAAACAAAAATAATGAAAAAAAAAAAAATTGTTTACACGAAAATCGTGTTGAAGTAAACGTCAGTTGTCCGTCGAATGTCGGATGGAGATGTTTCAAAAGTGTGAGAAGTAAAAAATGGGGCTGCAGAACTGAAAAACGATGTGGGACCGGGTGGAAGAAGAATTTAAAGTGTGAGGTAGCCTAAAAAATATCAGTAACCAAAAGTAGATGTAAAACAAAAAATACACGTGCTACGGATGGAACAGCGAGTTGTTCGTGGAGCAATAGGTTTGTGGGATTGATTAATTATGGTACGATCAGGAAGCTTCAACAACTACTGTGATTTTTTTGACTGAAGAAAAATTTTTCTATACGAAAAACAACGGATAGTCAAATTAGAAGAGAGACAGGATGACGGGAAAAATCACCAAACACAGCCAACCCCCCTGAGTCGAGATAAAAGCCGAAGAATTCTCTCCAATCGTGCTCGCCATGCATTCGGTTAGCCGGAATCTCTACCGGAGAATTGGCGTCGTTCTGGGCATAAACGACCACGTACGGCAGTGGTAGCGCCTGTCAGCCTGCACGCAATTCTGCACGTACGCGCACGAAGCCACCGCACCGCGAGAACATCTCTCTCCCCCCGCCATACGGCAGAGTCGAGATTTTTTTTTCCTCCTCGTGGGTCATGTCCGTGCCTGGTTGGGCGTCGCATATTATTTTGCACACATGTAATGCAATTGCTATGGAAGCTTGTAAAATATTATCACCTGCAAAAATTGAGTAGAAACAGGCGAGTGGGGTCAGACGAGTCATTCACGAGCGAATAAATTATCTATACTTGAAATCTGGCATTATCAATTTACAAGAACACAATTTAAAATAAATTTTATACCACAATGCATTGTTATACAGAAAATATATTTCTGTCACTAAATAGTATTTGAAATTATAGTTTTTCTATAATACCCTTTTTTTCGTTGTTTCAACTTCGTTAGATGAATTATCAACAATTGTGAAGTACACGTTTTTTTTTTTTTTTGTTTTTTTTTTCACATGATACCACAAAAATTATACATTTTTTAATTTTTTAAATCAGTCTTTGTTAGTACGTGAAAAAAGACACAAAACGTACGTCCAATTGTTTTGATAGTCTACTCGATGGCGAACAAAATAAATTTTTTCTGAGCTGATTTTCACCATATTACAAAAGAGTCATACGAGAGCTTCTAAAGCACCTCTATACAATAAAAAATCAAAGAATTTTCAGACTGATTTTCGCTTTGTTCCATAAGCTCAATTTCACGGTAAAATTTTCCTGGAAGACGTACGGAACACACTGTATAAATAACAATGCACGAAACGCGGACCTAATCGCGTTCATTGGTGCGTTGTGCCCGAGGGGCTTGAGCAGTGCGTAATTACGAATGCAAGGCGTGCGGAGCTAAGTACGGTTGCCGGGGGGCACACGCGGTAATTGAAAATCGCTGTTTGGTTCATCGTCGCCGTTGTTGTTGCGCATGGAAGAGGAATACATTTTTCCGTTCCTTTGGGGTCGAGATTGCAAGAAGAACGGGATTTTCATTTCGCACAAACGTCGATTGAACTTTTAGTTAGATATAGTGACGAAATGGAAGTTATTTTTAATTAACAATGAGTTCGCGGTGTGGTTGACTAAACTAACATGGTAAAAGTCTAGCAAACGATTGTGTGTGTTGTCTTGCAGCAAATTTTTTTGCACTCAGCGTTTTAGGTTTCATTGTGAAATTATTTTATTTTTGTCTTTAAAAAAGTTCTAAGAAAAACTTTACGTCTTGTTTCGACCACCAACAATAGTATACTACAAAAAATTGTGTTAGTTATGCAAAAATCTTTTATTTTTCATAGTTATTACGGGAATTTTTTTCTCCAGCTTGATAATTTTGTGAAGGTAATTTTGAAGCTTTTGAGCATAAATTGCACTGAGCAAACTTAAATCGTTAAGCGCTCAAAAAGTTACAAAATCTTACTAAGAGTCTCGCATTTTCTATTAAAGAATTTAATTCCTGTTGTGAGCTTTCTTGAATTAAAATACACAAGCATCAAAAAGTAAGCTTTTATACCATGCGATGTATATAATTAGACTCATTTGACGAGTACAAACATCTCGTTGCACGTACACCTGCAATTAGATAATCAAATCTTGCTCTTAAAAATCTTCCGAGATGATTTCATGCTGTAGCAGAAGAGAGTCAAGCGCTGGGAAAAAGGATGAAAAAACGCGACTCTCGCAAAAGCGACTCATCACTTAATAAAGAGAGCGTGCATATATGCGCTACATCCGGAACGTGGGCATGGACGGGAAAAAAAATGTGCAGGATAATTTATCATTTAGCTAAAAAATGTACTACGCTCTCTAAATAAATAACAGCATACGACGTCCTAGTACGTGTGTCGGGCCGGAAGTAGAAATGTTAATAAATTTAATGTGGCTTGTTTGGACACTTTATTACGAGCGAGGAGCTTTGAGTTTTCCTTTGCGACTTGTAAACTCGTATAAATATCTTCTTTTTAAGGATAAGTTTGTTTATATAGGGAACTCATTGTTAGTATTTTCACTTCAACTATTCAGATATGTATGGTAAAATTGTAATTTCATTGGGAATCGTAGGATAATTTAAAGGGAAATTAATTTATTACATTAATAATTAAGGAGTGGATGAAAGGGTTATTCTTTTTGACCATTTATTTCAATATTACAATTATTTTCCATGAATAAAACATGTTTTAAATAATCTATAAATATCTCATAAATTAAAATGTTAAGTGTCTTTACACTTTGTTATCATAACTTGTATGATTGGCAGACTATTTAATGATTATTTGCATACTTCTTTTTTATGAACATACATAACTTAAACTAAAACAAAAAATCACAATTACATGTACTTTTTTATTTATTTTTTTTTTTTTTTTCATGAAAGCATTAAAGAATAATAAAAATAACTAATAACAACGACATGCCTTACATGTTGAAATTCATTTTTTCGTATAATTTCAGCTAGTTTTTACTCTATATTTGTTTCCACAACGTTGTCCTTGAGCTTCAAAATACAAAAACATTAATGTTATCATAAGAACAAAATGTTTGTTTGTGGGACATACGTTTTTTATTTGTCAGTTAAGAAGAAAATAGGTACAAAAAGTACAGATGCCCTAAAATTGAACTGTCTTTTATTGATACTTATACCTTAAAGATAAATTGAAAACTATCCAACGAATAAATTGTTTCAAAACATCAATTTTACTTTTTTTCAGAAAATTTTTTTTTTCTAGTATAAATAAATTAAAAATATAATATCTTTCTATAGCTGCAGGCTGAACTTTAAACGTAAATTTATACTGACTTATATGTATGTTTGTTTTCTGACAGCTACCATTTTCTACTATTCAATTTGTGGGTTCTTCATGTGATTTTTTATACTTTAACAGGTATTGTGTCATAAATTTATTTAAAATTTTTTATTTTCTTTTTATTTTTGCGAAAAACCAAAACCAAAAAGAACTACAAGTAGAGGAATTTTGCTACTTTATACGCTAATATTGTTATTTTAATTGTATCTTCTATTGGTTAACAAGTCATGACCAGAATGTAAAAGAAAATAGAAATCATAATTTAAATAGTTACCTATTTCTTATCACATCATTGGTATCCATTACAACTAGTTTTAAGTCCAAAAGAATTTACGTCGAAAAGTACTTGTAAATGAAGGTAACACCGAACTAGTACTTGTTGAATCATCCGCGTGAGTCTGCTCGTGCATTTTGAGATTTGACGTTGAAGCAAAACTCTTTGAACCCACTTCACAAGCGTAGGGCTTATCAACAGCGTGAATTTTCTCGTGCCTCGTAAGATTTGTTCGCCTACTAAAACTTTTCAAACAGATTTGGCAGCTGTGTGGATTATCTTTCTTGTGAGTTCCCTCGTGCCTTGTTAGATTACATTTGTCAGTAAAATTTTTTGAACAGATTTTGCAGATGTAAGGCTTATCACCTACGTGAATCTGCTCGTGCCGCGTAAGACTTTCCTTTTGGGTGAATCTACTCAAACAAATTTTGCACCCATAGAGTTTATCACCCGAGTGTGTTCCTTCGTGAAGGGTAAGATGTTCCTTCCGGGTAAAACTTTGTGAGCACAATTTGCAATCGTAAGTTTTTTCACCCGTATGAGTCTGATCGTGCTTAGTGAGATCCGATTTTTGAACAAAAATCTTTGAACCCACTTCACAAGCGTAGGGTTTATTACCAGCGTGAATTTTCTCGTGCCTCGTAAGATTTTCCTTTACAGTAAAACTGCTTGAACAGTACTTGCATTTGTAGGGCTTGCAGCCAGTGTGAGTCCGTTCGTGCCTGGTGAGATCTGATTTTTGAATAAAACTTTTTAAACAAATTGTGCAGACGTGAGGTTTATCACCCACGTGAATTTTTTCGTGCCTCGTAAGATTTTCCTTCTGAGAAAAACTGTTTGAACAGTACTTGCATTTGTAGGGCTTGCAGCCAGTGTGAGTCCGTTCGTGCCTGGTGAGATCTGATTTTTGAATAAAACTTTTTAAACAAATTTTGCAGACGTAAGGCTTATCACCCACGTAAATTTTTTTGTGCCTCGTAAGATTTTCTTTGTGGGT